GTACAGATCGATGATCGTACATCTGAATCAGTGAACGTACGTTTCGGTATGCCACAAGGGTCGATCCTCGGCCCAGTGTTATTTAATCTCTACGTTTCCGATCTGCAAAATCATCTCCCTTCCTCGATTGGTTCATTTCAATACGCTGACGATGCAACAATATACTCCAGCTGTCCAGCTCGTGAGCTACAAAGATGTGCGCAAGAACTAAACTCCACACTAAACAGTGTGAGCTCCTGGTCTAATTACTCCCATCTAGCACTTAACTCGAAGAAGACAAAGACGATGTTGCTATCCACAAGCCAGATGTCACATGTACATAGTTTAGATAAGAACTGACCAGCTATTACAATCTCCGATGTAAAGAATCAACCATAAGAGGACACAGAAAAAATCTGAGCCCCAGATGGGATTCAAACCCATGACACTCCGTGTTCTAGATCGGATACTCTAACCTCTGAGCTACTGAGGACTCGTTAGCGAGCAAGGGTAATTTTTGTGGGTTGGACTTGCAAACCGCATCTTGCAGTCACACAGTCCATCACAACCAACACATTAAGGCTTAACTGTATCACACGGTCACTGTTCACGAGAATGAACTATATTCAAAAATTGTACACAAACTGTTAGCTACGAATTTTACAATTTGACGGAATTGAAATTCACAAAAAAACTACCAAGCGAATTCAAAAACTATTAATCGAATAAACGAAGATTGTCTCTCTGTCCAAGTCCTTCCAAGTTCTAAACTGTTCTGACTTATATTTTTTAACACTAGAGTTTTTAATCTCGGTCCATGCAAATTTCCATCACACTTCACCCAGTCAGGGCTCGAATGAGTCCCTTAACGCACGAATCTCTTTCACCACCATCGCTAGTTCATTAGTCCTTTTGTCCCTTTCTTCCCCCTTGATATGACGCAGCATATCAACTTTATCTATACGAAAGAAGGGGAAAAAGTCTCTAGGCTCACTAAATTAATATAAATATAAAAAATCCAAATCGATGTTGATGACATTGTCACCAAAGTTTATTAACGAACGTCTTGCTGTCTCATTCATGTAAATCATCTTCTAGCTCTACTTTCGTTCCATTTCTACGGAAGTTTCTTTACTGCAATTCCAACGGACACAATTTCGAAATAGGTCTGGTCAGTTGGCTCTTTCCCACTTGGACTTTCACGACTCTTACATGACCATCTTTTCCTTGATATACTTCGACGATTCTTCCTAGAGGCCAATGCTTGCGTGGTGTGTTGGGCAATATGACTAAGACAGCATCTCCTGATTGAAGGTCTCGTTCCTCTTTCAGCCATTTTCTTCTGTTGCTGAGACTTGGGATCCGTTCTCTGAGCCAACGATGCCAGAAATGACTAACTAGCTCTTGGTCTCTTCTCCATCTTTTCTTGAGACTATAATTGGTTTCGTCTACGGATTCTGGTGCGAATTGACTTCCAATTTGACCTATCAGAAAGTGGTTCGGTGTCTGTGGTATACAATATCATCTTCAGGGTTTGCTGATTGGTACGTGAGGGGCCTCGAATTCAATAACGCTTCTGCTCCTGTGTATACTGCTGTTAATTCTTCATCTGTCACGTCTGCATTGCCCAATACTGCATTCACAGCCCTCTTTGCAGCTTTAATCATCATCTCGTGTACACCCCCGAAGTGTGGTGCTAGTGCTGGTAGAAGTGCCACATTACTCCTTTGTTTGCTGTTGACTGGGCAATTTTGCTTTGATCCAGCACCTCAACCAATTCGCACAATTCTCTCTCGGCCGCGCCGAAGTTCGTACCATTGTCAGATAACATCTCTCTGGGTAGTCCTCTTCGGTTGACCATCGTATAGAAGGCGTTTAAGAACGAATCAGTGTCAAGTCCAAAGGCCATCTCAAGGTGAACCACCCTTGTGGCTAAGCAAGTAAATAAGCACAAGTATCACTTTTGTCTTCGAGATCTTCTTCCTTGAATTGTGACGAAAGGTCCCCCAAAATCTACAGCTGTGTGCGCAAAAGGTTGGAGTGATAACCGAAGTCTGATCTGTGGAAGGGGCGCCATAATTTGCTTTGCAGCTTTGGCCTTCCGCCTGCGGCACCCATTACACTCCTTCTCCCATTCTCGAATTTCTTCACGTCCAGATATTATCCAGAATCGAGTCGATAGGACTGCTAGCGTCTGATTCGTTCCACTTGCATGATTCCCCTCTTCGTGAAAGTTCTTCACAATCAATTTTGTGACTTCATGCTTGCGAGGAAGAATTATCGGGAAACGAGCATCATGAGATAAGAACTCTGCATATTTAAGTCGACTGTCACACCTCATCTGACCTTCTTCGTCCAATCGTGGTCAAAAAACAAGCAATTTACTGTTCTTCGGTAGCTCCTTTGGGCATTGAAGGGCCAAATACTCTTCGGGAAAGGCTTCTTGCTGGGCGCTTTTAATAACCTGAACCTCTGTGTCCTCGATTTCACTTGGCTTTAATTCTCCATTTTGTCTCGCGCGACCTCTACAGTTATCCACGAAACGACGGACCCACGCGTGGACTCTCGTGAATGTTTTCCAACTTGAGAAACGCTTGGGGTTTAAACGCCATGATGGGTCCTCTTGGTTTATAGTAATCATTGCTCGCTCGTCATAAAGATGATTGAAATGGTCTGGTAATTCTGAATTTGACTTCTTTACTTCTACTTTCGCAGCTCCTTGTTCTATGACTACTTTGTTAACTGGCCATTCCGACTCCTCGCGCCCCAAAAAGTCCGTTCCAGTCTGCCAATTCTCGTTCTTGGTCAGTTCTGGCAGTTTAAGTCCTCTCGTAGGTAAGTCTGCTGGTAGGTTCCACACACGTCCATCCTAATTGGGTTAATCTGGCCACTGGCTCGCCTGGTCTTCCTTTGACATCCTTGAATGAATAGTGCAGATCGACGTGATCAACTCCTATTAAAATATCCACTAGGGGGTGTGGTCCAGGTTTCGGGAACTGGATGCCTCTCAGGTGTGGCCACTTGTTAGCATGCTTTCTCCAATCGATTGCTTCTAAGTTTCCTGTGACCCTTTCTGTAGTGAATGAACTGACAGTTTTGCTTACGCTCCCGTCCAAACTTTCTTGTTCAACATCAACGGGCATAGTCTCAAATGTTGCAGTTTGACCGTTCAGAACGTTCACAGTGACTTTCCACGAGATTCCTTGAAGTCCGAGTTCACTTGCCGTGTCAGCATTAATGTACGTCTTGGTTGAAGCTTCGTCAAGTAAGGCATTCACTTTGATTGCACGACTACCATTTTTAAGAATCACAGGAACTGTTCGCAGAGCAAGAAAGCCTGTTTCTGTACCCTCTGCTGTTGTAGTCGTGTGCGACCTCTCTGCTTGCTTGTCACCAGGCTCCCGAGGAGGTAAAAGGACCAATGTCACTTTCTCATTTTCAGGTTTCGTTTCACTTTTAGTGTTCGATATGCCGTAAGCTGCCTCGTTCTTGTCTGTTGTTGGTCCAGTTTCAACCGGTTGTCTTTGATCGGCTTGAGTTTATTCTTTGCTAAAGTGCAAAAGTCTGTTGTGATTGTCTTTGCAGTTGTTTATGCCACACACCCTAGTCCTGACACACGTTTGACTGCGGTGGTCTCCTCCTAGGCAGCGAAAACACAGTTTCAAGCGTTTCGCAGCATTCCATCTTTCTTGAACTGGCAAATCTTTGAATTTGTCACAACGCCAAACTCCGTGATGTCCTTTGCACACTTTGCAGGGGCGATATTTCTGAATTTCCGATTCCTGAGCATTCCCAAAGAATGCCTTCTTGCTCCGATTCCGTCTTGAATCAACGTTCCTGTTTGACGAAGTTACACCTCGAATGGTCTCCGATGCTACTGTTTGTAATTCCGCTTCCTGTAACACGAATTCTTTGAGGGCGTCGACTGATTCCCAGCGGTGATTCTTGAATATCCAACCATTGTATTGGGCCAGCATCCCCTCGTTTAATTTCTTGCATAAGCTAATGCACAATGTTCCTTTTCCGAGTTCGTCGTGACGATTAGCCTCTTTAAGGTTTACGAGAGTTACATCCAACAAATCTGCAAATCGTTCGATGTCTCCTGCATTTCCCGGGCGAAGGGATTTGATATCCTCCAATTCCTTGAGATGCAGTGCTAATTTTCGCCTTTCTCCGCCGAATTTACGTTCCAGTAGAGCTATTGCTGCTTCAAAAGCCGCAGCTGAATGTCCTAAAGGTTCCACGATCTTAAGGGCTTCTCCTGATAAATGCTGCCGGAGTTGAGGTAATTTGTATTCAGGTGTGGTTGGTGCTTGATGAACGCACGCCATAAATGCTGGTTTCCATCCTTCATGAGCTCTTCTATCACCGTTAAAAACGGGAATGGAAACTCTCTTTAGTTGATTCCACATATCCCGACCAAACGTTGGCTCTTCGTACGGTTCTTTTGTATATTTTCGACCTCAGGAGTCGAATGTCTCTTTGTAATGACGATTAAATTCCCGTAATGACCCTTTGTAATCGTCAACCTTCTCTTTATGCTTAGTTTCGTCCCTTCGAATTTGTTCCCCGCTTTTCTTTGCCACGCTTTCTGTAATTCGACAGCGACGGGTGTTTTCTGACGCTTCGGTTGTCAGACTGGATAACTCATCTTTACGGGCATCTAAATACTCTTGTGCTTTCTCGTTCGCCTCCGAAAATTCTAGTTCCAATTTGTCCATCTCTTCGACGACTTTTTTCCTTTTTTCTCTGTCTTTAAGGAGCGCGTATTCCATTGAAAGATGATGCATAGTTTCCATAGCATGTTCCTGAGCATTGCTGAGTTGGTGACACATTTCTTTTCTCTCTCTTCGGCTTGGAAAATCTTGTTCGTCCAGCATGCGAAGTAATTTGTTCTTTATCCGAGTAAAGGATGATTTCTGTATAGCTTTGTCCTGTTTTAAGTCCTCTATTCGCTCCTCGATTTCGCCGCTAGTTGCCTCCTCACCGCCGTCATCCGCTACTTTGCCGTTCAATGACATGACCGCAATTAACCTCGCTCTTCTACCAGAAAATGTTCACGAGAATGAACTATATTCAAAAATTGTACACAAACTGTTAGCTACGAATTTTACAATTTGACCGAATTCAAATTCACAAAAAAACTTCTAAGCGAATTCAAAAACTATTAATCGAATAAACGAAAATTGTCTCTCTGTCCAAGTCCTTCCAAGTTCTAAACTGTTTTGACTTATATGTTTTAACACTAGAGTTTTTATTCTCGGTCCATGCAAATTTGCATCACACTTCACCCAGTCAGGGCTCGAATGAATCCCTTAACGCACGAATGTCTTTCTCCACCATCTCTAGTTCATTAGTCCTTTCGTCCAGTCATATTAATAGTCAACACATTAAGGCTTAACTGTATCACACAGTCACATCAATAGTAAGAAATGTCTCACTCATGAAGGAGCCTCCGACCAACCAACCTATGCCACTGACATTAATATTATAAAAGAAATAGAGGGAGATGTAAAGAATCAACCATAAGAGGACCATAAAAAAATCTGAGCCCCAGATGGGATTCGAACCCACGACTCTCTGTGTTCTAGATCGGATGGTCTAACCTCTTAGCTAATGGGGACTCGTTGGCGAGCAAAGGTCATTTTTGTGGGTTGGACTTGCGAACTGCATCTCGCAGTCACACAGTCCATCACAAGCAACACATTAAGGCTTAACTGTATTACACAGTCACATTAATAGTAAGAAATGTCTCACTCATGAAGGAGCCTCCAACTAACCAACCTATGCCACTGATATTAATATTATAAAGGAAATAAAGGGAGATGTAAAGAATCAGCCATAAGAGGACACAGAAAAAATCTGAGCCCCAGATGGGATTCGAACCCACGACCCTCCGTGTTCTAGATCGGATGCTCTAACCTCTGAGCTACTGAGGACTCGTTGGCAAGCAAGGGTCATTTTTGTGGGTTAGACTTGCGAACCCCATCTCGCAGTCACACAGTCCAGCACAAGCAACACATAATGCGGCTCGCAAGTCCAACCTTCAAAAATGACCCTTGCTCACTAACGAGTCCTCAGTAGCTCAGTGGTTAGAGCATCCGATCTAGAACATGGAGGGTCGTGGGTTCGAATCCCATCTGGGGCTCAGATTTTTTCTGTGTCCTCTTATGGCTGATTCTTTACATCTCCCTTTATTTCCTTTATAATATTAATATCAGTGGCATAGGTTGGTTGGTTGGAGGCTCCTTCATGAGTGAGACATTTCTTGCGACACGTAGCCAATCGATAAAAACTGAACTTTGAACCAATAATAAGTGTTTGTATGAAGCTACATTGTACAAATGTCCGTGAGAATAAATCACCATATTATTTGTCTGAAACCTGTCCACAATAAGGTTTAGAGCACGCGAGCGATGGAGTGAGTGAAAGAGTGACTTTCCAATCGAGTTCAATGTTATACTGTTACATTACGCTTTGCGAGCGTATCAAATCATCTCAGGTCAGTCTTTTCTTCCGTCGAGTATAAAACGTTTTACTACCAAGGGAGAACAAACCCTGTCACACTTTCCAGAAAAGCTCTTAATAACTAAAGCAATTTATCAATTAAATAATTACAACAAAGCCTGGCTGAATACAAAGTTAGCCAAAACACCGAATTTATTTACGTAGAGTTCCAGGAATTGCTTCAAATATTCTGAGAAACGTATCGCTTTAATTTACGAGAATATTTTACCTTCACTTGCATTCATACTCTTCGCTTGCGAAAACTTGGCTTTCTACACGAAACAGGATTTCTCCGCCTTTAGTTTTCCACAAGCCACTTTATCGACAGTCCGGTGTGAGTAGGGTAAGGTTATATTATCCCAGGCAAATGAAAAGAGTGGTATTTTCAACACTTTTGCTTTTGTAAACGTTATATAGAGTCTCCGCTGGCACATATAAAGGTAGAAATCGAAGAAAATCATTTTCGATAAACGTGACCTCGTTACATAGATTGTCTGACAGAAGTTGAATATGGTGCGGTTTGACTTATTCCATGAAGCTTACTATGCTGTTCTATCCTAATGTCTGACGAACAGCTTGACGTTACATGTCACTCGTCTTGCATTGCTCTTTCCAAACTTCAAAGGGACTTTTTTCGTGTATTTGTTTTATTTTGTTTGCTTCTTTGTTTTTGTTTTAACTTATTATTATTTGTTGGACTGTATTTGTTCATTTATTTTTCATTTCGCATCCAGGTGTGCTTTTCAACTGGACACTGATATTGTATGGCACAGAAACAGATCCCCTTAAAGGAAACCTTCGCATCAATGCTTCACTTCCAACAACACAACCAATGTCTAGAACTCCGACAACGGTAACAGAAGCAACTGAGCGCAGGTCAAAATCTCTTTCAGGTCGGTGTCTGCTAACAGGATTTGGGATGGTATTTGCCCGAGATAGCGTGATCAAACGTGAAGAGCCACCTTTTAGATTGTATAAGGAAATGGTTTAATTCCTTTCTTAAAGTAAAATCTTGGTGTCGTGGGCTGGTTTCTTTTGTTTTGTACTGCTCTGAGGAGTTATTTACGGCGATGCAAACTCGTAGAGTTTGGCTAGAAAGTAAACATGTGTATAAATACCTACTTACTCCTTACCCTGGGAAATGTTAACAAAATTGAATTTCAAATGACCCAAGAGCTTTTATGTGAGTATTTAAATGGTAGTGACTGTTGAAGGGCTTGAGAAGTTTGGAGAAGCTACGCGTGCATGTAGAGGTGCAGCTCGAACGTATCACTTCCGATGTCTGTCTCTCTCTCTTCAAACTTCTCGCGTGCATATATAGCTCGAAATGTGCATGCAACGCATGAAGAGGACAATATTCATCGGATAAATGACATCTTTTTCCTCAATTGAAACGCCTTAGTTGAATCACTGGGGGGTTTATTCCATTCAGTTTGCTAATTAATCCTTATTTATGCTTTTACTTACTCACGCTTCAAACACGTCCCTCTCTTTTTTGCTTTTTAGTAGCGGAAGTTGTTGGAATCGTGGTTGGAGTTACGGTGTTCCTCGCATTCGTGGTTTGTGTGGGTTCGTTGCTTTATATGCGTTTGTTATCGGGCCCTCATCAACTCGTGGGAGTTTCAGCGGGGCCAGAAGAAGTGATTAAAATGTAGTTATAGTAAGGGGTTCGTCAACTCTAGTACAATGAGGACTCGAAGTACCCGTGTTTTCTCTTTACACGCCCGGCCTTTATAACCTTAAGTTTATTATACCCCCTCCCCCAAGAAGTGGAGGTACTTATTAACAACTACCCCTTTTAGGCCCAGCGTTCTTTCGGGGTTCGAGGTCTCGAATGCTTGTCATAAAGGGACATGTTATCTAAGATGTACACAGCCCCTAGACTTGAATACTGTGTAGTTATCACGCAAAATTTAGATTTTTATTCAGACCAACTGAATGAAACTGTTCTATATGGAAAACAAATGTTGCTCCGTTAATGCAGTATCTGCGGACCCTAAAATTACCAGCGTTGATTGTACAGCTGACGCATTCTTGACTTGTCTACGTGCACAGTCGTTTAGAATAGAAAGAAGTTGTTTTTAAAATTTATTAAACAGGAGTGGAAACACTACATTGCACGCGCGAGGTGACATTGCAAATGAGTAGCTTCTGCTACTTAGATTAATGTACAAAGGATTTCCTATTTTCGCTTTCGAATTAATCGCGAACCAAAGTTTTCAAAACCGTGACATCATTTGATTGCGGCCATCACAAAGGGCGGATTTTTCTTAGAACAGTTACTAACCAAAATAATTTTTGATGACGTTTGATCATAAAATCAAAAGTGAGGGATATTCAGATCAATCATGGTAACTTTTCTTTCCACGTCGTTTCAAGCGAATTGAGATTAAGTCTTCTTTCAAAGCAAATTAAGCCACTAATTGATCAGCGGTTGTTAGTGGACCCACCAGTAACCCTTTAAAAATTTTGGGTAGCGTTCTATTCTTTTCTTTTCTTGGAGGATGCGCATTTAAACAGAAATATTTCTGCTAAGTTTATTATGAGAAGTAACATTTCTGCTTTTATGGTCGTTATTTTAAAGATTACAATTTATGATCCTGTTAGACTAAATTGCCTAGGCGACCTTTTACTCGTTAACGCTCCTTCGTTTCTCATCAAATGAGATATAGTCTTGTTAAGGGCGACGTCACGGTGAAAACGAGAAGCGGAGCTGGAAATAGCAGTCAGTGTTCGTACCATGCCCGACTTAACTTGGCCGATATCCGACGAAATCTTTACTCTGTTGGCAAAATAATGCTGTCTGTAAAAAACATATACCAAATACTATCACTGTGCCGATAAATGAAATCTATTGTGAGGGCATGTGAACCGCTGTACAAGGAAGTAACATTGTCTCAGTAAATATACGGCTGTAATCAATCCCGCGACTACAAAAGTTTCGTTAACGAGTCCTTGATTGAGTGCGACCTCATTTTTCTCTTGTCCGTGACTTAAGCCGAAATTTGTTTTTTAGGCAAAGGAAAATTATTTCTAGCTGGAGAACTGTTTTAGAGTAAGGAGGTTTCCCTTACATAGGTTTCATATTTTTAGTGGTCATAGAATATATTGAATTGCATTGTAATGTATTGTGAGCCCATTGTAAGGTATTGAAGCATGATGATAAAATGTAAATAGAAAACGTAATATATTACAGAGTTTTATGATTTCATTTAGTTAGAACAAAAATGTTTATAAGGGTAATTTTATCAGGGACCTTTACCTTGGTTCTCGAGAACGAGATTGATTACGAGTACGAGTTTTCAAACCAAGTCGCGTGCCTCAGGAAATTAATTATCACATCATCGTCATCCCTATTTTTTTTTTATAGATGTGATAGTTAGCTACAGGAAAGAGTTATTGTTCAGGAGATACGATTCTTTGCAAATTTTTAGTTCTTACCCCTACCATGTTTCGTTCTCGCAATAAAGTATAAAGGTCCCTATAATAATCTTAAGCAGTGTTGTAGTCTGTA